GTGTTAACGGTTCGTTTGAGTTTGCCCACGCCCGCTTCCCCGGCTGCGGGTTTTTTCTTTTAAACATTCGTAAAGTTTGTTCCCTTGTGGGGAGAGACCCTTTGAGGTTTCAAAAAAATTAACTCCTTCCCCCCCCCCATCCCCCCCCCCCCCCCCCCCAAATTATTAAACTTCCCTGAATTGTTGGGTTTTTTTTAGTTTATATTTCGTTTTGTTTGTTGTTGTTGTTTTCACCTTTTAGGCCAACCTCGAAATAAGCAAAGAAAAGTTGGCGTCTGACTTGGTTTGTCTACTGGACGAAGCTTCTCGGCCTCGGGACGTTGCTGCTCTGAAAGCGGAAATAGAGTCATACTTCATTGTTGGAGGAGCCCGCATCGACATGATAGGAAAAGTTATGGAGCTTGATAACAATATTGGAACTTACAACTTTGATATTCCAATGCTCGAAGAGACTGAAACAGGAATTATAGAAGCCGGCAAGTCGCAAGGTATATGAGATTGCGATTTTAGGGTCTTTTGTCTAACGCTCTTTACATATCTCATCTATGATTAAGTATTTAAGTTATTGTTTATATATTATTTCAATTTATGTTAGACAATGCACAATGGAAAGGTTTAGGAAATGGCTAAATTTTAGTCATTTTATAAATATATCTGTTTATTAGCTAACAAATTGTACATGGATACATGCATACAGTATTATTTTATATTTCTAATCAGTCGATTAATTACTTTTTAACCAGGGTCTCGCACTCTCGCGAAGTCTCTAATTTACCAGATTCTACACTCCTTAAACTGCCTATAATCATAACAAATGAAAAGTGATTTTGCATATAAATTGTCGGTGAAGTATTGAATAGTATCAGGAAAAGTTATTGTCATTATCAATTATTATAGTAGAAGCTTTTTCTGTAATTGTGAGAATATTATTAGAGAAGACGCTTATTTCTATTCTGAAGGCACATTAAGCACTGACCTCCGACAGACCTTCACGGATAATCTCCTCAGCACATACAAACAGCTGGAAAGATCATTTATGATAAAGCTTTATGAACTTCAGAAAGCCCTTGGAAATTCCATACTGATGAAGTGCAATTACCCATAACTGGGTAGTGCTTCTGGTTGGTTGAAGCAAATATCCCTTGCCGCACCACAATCTACACAGGTCTTGGTATTGACATATGTCATCACTTAGGGAGCTCAAACAAGTACGACGTACGGCGACGGCTACGAAACAACACTTAGAAGTAAATTCGCACTGATTCATACTTTATAGAGCTTATTCCATATCGTTCAGGTCCAGAAAAAGAAAATGAAAGTCGTTGTTTTGCGTTCACCACCTCCACAAAACGTGAAATTAGGCAATTTCCCAGTGTTTCATGCAGATCGAGTAATTATCGACGGGTTAACCTGCGGTCAAGGTCAACAGTCCAGAATTTGGAAGGTACAACGTGATTGGCTAAGCGTTGGGAAAGGAATGTAGTTCTTGGTTGAGCAGGCGCTTGCGGGTAGGGGCGAAATACGAACTCCCCTAAAAATTAAAACACTTGCGCGGGATCGGAGGCTAGGATTATCTGCATGCGCTCGTTGGGAAACGTCGGTAGTGTTTTCAGGCTAATCCTGGAAGGGGGTTTACGTTTTTCTCCTGGGAACTGTATCTTGAAAAATTGTGAAAATTAAAAACAAATAAATAAATAAATAAATAAAAGTGGTGGCAGGTTTTAATATCTCCTGTTCTCCTAATTCTCCTATTCTTTATCCATTACCTTTATGTATTTTTTTTTGGTCAGATGGCGTCAAAATTTTCAGACATTTCGTCCGAGCAGGTAAAAGCACAGAAAAACCGACTTATCGCTGCCAGAGACCTGGATGAAAGTGAGAAAAGGATGTATATTAAGGTACTTACAATGCATTGATATCACCGCCCGCCAGGTTAGGTTAGTCCGTGAGAGCACCGGTCTGCCAAACGGAATGGCTGAGATAAGAACTAGACGGATTTTAAGAGAAAAGGCGGACTGCAAGCAGTCTCACTCATTTGGCTCATATGTTTTTTGTAGTATTCTGCTGACTAGGTATTAGCTATCAATTAATCGCAGGCTCAAGCCCAATTTTGTTTCTTTTTTTGTCGAAAGAAAAATTCCGGAAGGCCGTTTTCTAAAAGTCCAAGTAATAACCATTGCAATGTACTAACGGGAGCTCCGCTTTTACCTCCAGCTAAACCTATATATCATTATTGTCTCTTGTCCTCGCAGGGCATCAAATCTCAAGAGCAACGAATGGAGGAAATACTTGTGAGGATCATGAACCTGTTACCCGAAGGCTATGAGAAAACCAAAGAGAAATTAGACAAGGAGCAGTTGTTGGCGGTAGTCCAAGGAGTTACTGGGTTCGCGGCGCCCATAGCAGGCAAAGATCCACTTATAATTATTGATTCGGCTGTGTATGTAATGGATTACGAAATTAACAAACCTTGCCTCGGATCACTTGACACCATTCGTGGAAATCTCAAGAAATGGCTGACATTTGGAGAAGAGTACGAGCCTTTGGAGGATTCTAGTGACTTTGACTTTGATAAAGTGGAGGTCTCCGCAATTCCTGAAGTTATGAAGGTATGTAACCAATATCATGAAAGCCACATGAGAGTTAATCTAAGATACTCAGAAAGCTTTTGATGCTTGTCATAACAGGAAGAGGAAAGATGATCCCTCTAAGTCCCTATCAGAATTTGTGTGTGAATATGATATTCGTATGTTTATACTACAACATAAGAAATTTCTGCAATTTGATTGGCTTAGAGCAGTGGTATTTGAGCTTAATTTGAAATACCTACATGTGAAAATTACAAAATCTTTTGCGGGTAGTAGTGTAAACAAATAATAGCATGATTTGTACGTGATATTTGGCATAAATACCACTNGCTGACTAGGTATTAGCTATCAATTAATCGCAGGCTCAAGCCCAATTTTGTTTCTTTTTTTGTCGAAAGAAAAATTCCGGAAGGCCGTTTTCTAAAAGTCCAAGTAATAACCATTGCAATGTACTAACGGGAGCTCCGCTTTTACCTCCAGCTAAACCTATATATCATTATTGTCTCTTGTCCTCGCAGGGCATCAAATCTCAAGAGCAGCGAATGGAGGAAATACTTGTGAGGATCATGAACCTGTTACCCGAAGGCTATGAGAAAACCAAAGAGAAATTAGACAAGGAGCAGTTGTTGGCGGTAGTCCAAGGAGTTACTGGGTTCGCGGCGCCCATAGCAGGCAAAGATCCACTTATAATTATTGATTCGGCTGTGTATGTAATGGATTACGAAATTAACAAACCTTGCCTCGGATCACTTGACACCATTCGTGGAAATCTCAAGAAATGGCTGACATTTGGAGAAGAGTACGAGCCTTTGGAGGATTCTAGTGACTTTGACTTTGATAAAGTGGAGGTCTCCGCAATTCCTGAAGTTATGAAGGTATGTAACCAATATCATGAAAGCCACATGAGAGTTAATCTAAGATACTCAGAAAGCTTTTGATGCTTGTCATAACAGGAAGAGGAAAGATGATCCCTCTAAGTCCCTATCAGAATTTGTGTGTGAATATGATATTCGTATGTTTATACTACAACATAAGAAATTTCTGCAATTTGATTGGCTTAGAGCAGTGGTATTTGAGCTTAATTTGAAATACCTACATGTGAAAATTACAAAATCTTTTGCGGGTAGTAGTGTAAACAAATAATAGCATGATTTGTACGTGATATTTGGCATAAATACCACTCGTGATATTTCAAAATTGTCTCAAATTTCACTCGCCTAATGGCTCGTGAAATGACGTATAACAATTTCGAAATGTCACTCGCGGTATTTATGCCAAATATCACTACAAATCATGCTATTACCTATACAAATTCTCAAGACTGATTTCCTTATGCAAAAAGAATTGGTTTTAGATCATTTCTCTTTCGTAGTTGCTTTGCTAATTCACATACCTTTCCTCTTAATCATGTATCGAAGTTGTTAGTAGAAAATTTAGTTTTGTTCACCCCTAGCCAAGGACTTAATCCGTCATTAAGCCGAAACTATAAAGATCGGCCTCCCCTCGTCCCAGTTCTGGGTCCGAATTTTAATTCGGAACAGGAAGTACGCCTGTTACATGAGTAGTAGGGCGACTAAATAAAAGTCGCTTCAAAGCAGCGTGCGCAGCTGGCAGAATCGTTTTTGCGCGTGCAAGAGTATTGGCGGTGAAGCCGCCTTCCTCGTGGCTTTGCCGCGAGAAGCGAGCAACGAAGACGTGAGAAAATTCCAAAAAGGCGCCTGCTCCCCATTCTTTTAACGGCTTCACAGGCAACTTCAGAGTAGAAAAATCTGGCCAAACAAAGGCTGGGGAACATAAGCAAGTTGTCCATCAGGCATAACTTGTTCCGGTTTCCACGCATGATGTGAAGCGACTAATATGCCGTTGGAAGAGATTTAGCAACAGAACGAGAACGTCAGCTTACGACGGGAAAGCGCGCGGAAAGGACTAAACGTGACTTCCGTTTCCCAATTTGCCGCTCTGCCATTCAGAAGCTCTGCCATTGGTCAAGATGCCGTTTAGACCTGGCGCGCCGACGTTAGTGCCGTCGCGTTGTCTCTGCTAAATCTGCCTAATAATCGTCACTATGTGGAGATGCACGCTTTGAGTTCTGAAAGAAATTAACTCCCTCCCGACCCCTATCACCCTTCCAAATTATTAAACTTCTCTGAATCTTTTCGTTTTGTTTTGTTGTTGTTGTTTTTCACGTTTAGGCTAACCTCGAAATAAGCAAAGAAAAGTTGGCGTCTGACTTGGTTTGTCTACTGGAAGAAGCTGCTCGGCCTCGGGACGTTGCCGCTCTAAAAGCGGAACTAGAGTCATACTTCATTGTTGGAGGAGCCCGTATCGACATGATAGGAAAAGTTATGGAGCTTGACAACAATATTGGAACATACAACTTTGATATTCCAATGCTCGAAGAGACTGAAACAG